CTAATGCCTTCTAATCAGCCTCCTATGGATGGGAGGGTTGTCTTACACCTAGGGAAAGCTCCATGGCTGAATTTGGAAGCAACATACACCATTATTCAGAGTTTATTACATTATAGAGAGAGAAGCTCAAGGAAGAAGATGAAGTTCTAGAGAGAGAAATTGATATTTTTGTATTTTCTTCCATCCATTCACTTGTAATTTCCTGTAAGACTCGTGTAAGCTTCATTTAATGCCTTTAATGTTATTTATTACAAGTACATTTCAAGTTTAGTCTTACATTTTGGATTTCACCATTGTTGTATTAAGTTTTCTTCATTTTTCAAGCTTTGAAATGGGTATTGAATATTTCTCTTCATAGTTTATATTTTCTTGCATTAAACTAAGTTCCAATCTTCATTTATTTACAATGTTTCTTCATTATTTTTATGTCTTTGCTTTAGATATGAGTAGCTAAGCTTTTAAGTTGGCTAATCCAAGGGAGAATTCCTCTTGGGTATGCCAAATCAACCCTTTTTCATTCCTCCTCGTAGTGTACGATGATTTGATTTGACTAAGTTGAGTGTGGACGTGATTGTCAGTTCTTGATACATGATAAACTTGTCACGGGGTATGCTTGAATCTTCACCTCCATTTTAGTCATGCGCTTCCTAAGAATCAATCAAACATCTAGGCACCATTGGAGGAAGGTCTTGAGTTGATTTGACATTCTTATTGGAATGACCTCTTTGGATTAGCCAACACTTGTTTCCATTTTATTTTTATCAAGAACACAATTCACCAAACCTCAGACATCAAAGATTTTTACACTTTACCCTTTCTACCAAAATCACCTTCACACAATTTCCTTCCTTCCATAAGGAGACAACCTTGGAATATGAATTCCAAGTAAAACACGACCCTCAAAGGTCTCTCTACACTTACGGAATACTTTTGTTCACACACACTCATTTCATTCCACACACTCGTTTTCCTATTTCTTGCATCGAACCCGAGTGAGAATGACACTCATCTATCCATATAAGTCATACACACATTGAGGGTTTATGATAGGAGATTAGGAACAACAAAATAATCCAAGCAACGGACACAAGAAAGTTCATATGGAAGAACATTATTACAAGGTTTGGTATACCAACCACCCTCATATCCGACAATGAAACCCAATTCGAAAGTGGTCCCTTCAAAGCCTTTTGTCAACAATATGAGATTCAGAACCACTACTCCACTCTAGCTTACCCACAGAGTAATGGAAAGGCTAAAATCTCAAATAAAACAATCCAATATGGGATTAAGAAAAGGTTGGAGAATGCAAAAGGCAAATTGGTGGAAGAGTTGCCCAGTATTCTGTGGATGTATCGAACCACATCACAACGTGCAACGGGGAAAACTCCATTTGCAGGCACTTATGGAATGAAGGATGTAATACCGCTGGAAAAAGGGTTGCTGACACTCTGAACTGGTCTAGTCATTAAGGGGGACAATGACAATGCAATTGGTCAGGAATTAGACCTACTTGAAGAAAATAGAGAGTTAGCTACAGTTCGAATGACTTCTTATCAGCAACAGATGGCTCAGACCTACAACAAGAAGGTCAACCCTCGTGCTTTTATCCTTGGGGACCTAGTTCTTAGACACGTTATGGGATCAACCAAAAATTCAATGCATGAAAAGCTAGGTGCTACAAGGATCGAACTCTTTGAAGAAGGGCCGACCAAGAGCCGTAATTTGTTAGAGTAAAATTTTTTCTAAGCATTGAAAGGTCTCTAGCTAATTTCTTGGGACCGAACTCTTCAAAGAAGGGCCGACCAAGGGCCATAACTTCTTAGAGTAAAATTTTTTCTAAGTATTAAAAGATCCCTAGCTAAGTGTTTGGGACCAAACTCTTCGAAGAAGGGCCATAACTTCTTAGAGTAATTTTTTTTTTAAGTATTGAAAGGTCCCTAGCTAAGTGCTTGGGACCGAACTCTTCAAAGAAGGGCCGACCAAGGGCCATAACTTAGAGTAAAATTTTCTTCGAAGTACTAAAAGGTCCCTAGTTAAGTGCTAAGGACTAAATTCTTTGAAGAATGACCGAGTAAGGGGTCATAACTTCTTAGCAATCTATTTAAGTATCAAGGGATCCCTGTCTAAGTACTTTGGACAAAACTATTAAAAACAAAACAAAGAAATAAGAATGCAAAAAAACTTGCTAAAAAGATATTCCATATATATATATATATATATATATATATCAAAAAAGGAAGAAACTTACATTTTTTTTAAAAAAAAGATATTTATTTTCAAAACATTTGTTTTTAGGAAGTTCCATGTTCATGACAGTTGTTTTCAGGAAGGTGGCGGTTTGGAGGAGCTCGTAGTAGAATAACAATAATATAGCTCAAAAGATGGGGGCACACACTGTAGCTGTCAAAACGACAAGCCAACTCTTAGAGAAATATGCCTTCTCTAGAGAGGGAATCTACATAGTCAAGTGATTTTTTGACTTCACCATCCCTTGCGCAAAGGCAATATCCTCCAGATCCTTGGTTTCAGCTTTGAACCGCTCAAATTCTTCTAAGAGGTTGGACTAATCAAGCTGAGTTTGGGAAAGCTCAACGTTGATCACATTCTCTAAAGCTTTCAAATCCTCTACCTCCACTGCATGTTTTTTGTTCTCATCAATCAAGCTTAGTATTTGAGCTTGGAGAACCAGCATTTCCTCACAAAGCTTGGCAGACTCCTTATTAGTAGATTCCATCTTTGTTAGTGTAGATATATGCTCATGAATTGCCTCCTTCATAGCCTTATCCTTCTTGGCAATTCTTTCCCCAACCTTATGGACCTTTTGAAGTCCTTGCTGACCACAAGGAGAAGCAAATGAAAAATATTAAAAAAAAAACTATATTGCAAAGGAAAAAAGAAGGGAGATGTAAAGATACCATAACCATCTACTGGATATCTTGCCAAGTGATTTCATCATCGGACAAACCCCTCGTTTACGTTCAAGTCATGAGGAAGAATTACGCCTCTGCTAATACCTACTGCCACATTGAATCTTTATCAGTACAGTCTCAAACAAAGATTTCCCTTTCTTTTGCCTTCAGAATTGGGCAAAAAAGGGGAAATCATAGGCTCTAGGGGGAAGGAAAGTATCAGGTTCTGGCACTTTGCACTTTTTGGGGCATGATCATCAAGTAGGACCAATATGGCTTTTGGTTGGTCAGTTGGAGGAGGGGTTGGCTCTAAAGAAATAGAAGGGAGTTTAGATTGGATGAAGGAAGTCTCGAGGTTTATATCTACCGAAGCCTTGGCCGAGTCATCCACTAGCTCCTAAGAATGTATGGCCAGCTCTGCCTTGGTAGGTTCTTCCAAAGTAGGTTCTTTAGGATCGGTAAAGGTTTGGACTTGGGCAGAAGGCGGTTTAATCATGCTTGTAGAAGAAAGAAAACCAAGAAAGTTCCTCACTGGCCTGTTCCTTCCAAAAGGGTCAACTATAGCCTTCTTACAAGAACGAGGAGTTTGATCTTGAGTAGTTTGAATGGCTTGATGATTGTCGGCCACAGTAGCATTGGGGTAGGGAGGAACCGCAATAAAAGACATATAGGTTGGAGTATATCAACAGCTCGGTAGAAGAGAGATTCATTGAAGCTCCATACCTTCTTTAACTCCTCCATTTTTACGAAGCACTTCGGGATTCTTCCCTTCACAGTTTCACCTACAAGAGAGGAAAGACAAGTGTAAAGAGAAGGGTTTAAAAACAAAAGAAGAGATAAAGAGGCATATCGTCAATCACTTGGTGCGCCTTCTTTGTAAGGGCATCGATAGGAATGAATTTCACTAGAAACATATTCCCAATTGCTAGAGACAAAGATGATGTCATTTTCATGACCTCTTATTGGAATTTGGGAGATTGATCACCAAGTAGCAGTCATTCTTCCTCACTACAAGATAGTAGTTGTCTCCAAATGGCAACATGATATAGCAGAAAAGGATTTCCCAGAGACTCAGGCCCAAATCCAAAAGTTGTTAAGGGTAGCAATGCCTATTACAATCCTAAAAAAGTTAGAATAGCATTGGATGAGGCACAACTTTAGTGCTGAAAACACCCATAAAATGAGAGGATGAAAAAGGAAGCGAACACCACCTTCTGTGATGGCTCGAGTATGGATGGGAATGGTTCTTCTGGTACTAATCAGGGGCTTATCGGTTCTGACAACACAAATTTGAACATCATCGAAATTTGGTACTTGGTTCTAAAAGCAGGTATGTCTGAAGAAGTGAGATGAGCCATTTTCTGATAGGTAAAACCCAAAATAATAAAGAAAAAAGTCAGAAGAAGAAGAACAAGTGAAGAAGAAAGGAAGCCTTGCACCCCTTTTTAAAGCATGGACCTAATGAAGTGACTGAAGCACAAAGGAAAAATATTTAATGTAAGACATGTTGTCAGAACAAAGTGCATGTCTCAAAGATGCATGCAATGATTAACTTGGGAGCATGAAACAACTACCAGAAGAAAAAACGTCTGACACACATTTTCTGGGGGCAAGTGAGGGGCATTTAATATACTCACGCGAGAATGATGAGACAGTCACATGTGGGAACAAAAATTATAGTAGCCAAGTTGAGTAGTAACGACATGGTTCATGGTGCCGAGCCGAGTCACCTAGAGTTCAGTAAAAGAAGTAGGAGCTCGATTTTAGTGTGATTGAGCTCAGTTCGGAAACAGCCTCAAGCTAAGGGAATACCTACAATCAGGGATTTAGGTATAACGAACAAGCACAATCATTGGCTCGGGAAGAGCTAGACAACAGAATGAGTGTCTGGAGAGATTTCAATGAATCCTTAACAAACATCTCAACACGGAGAAAGACACTATATATGGAGTTGAGTATGCATAGTAAAAAGTATGCACAATTCTCCCTACATACACATACACAGTCCTTTCACACAAGTACTGACTTAAGTATCGGAGTGCCTTCGACCGAAACACTTCGGTCTTAGGCAGTTTGTTCGTTTTGTAGGAAGGAGAAAACATGATACAAGAATCATACTCCTCAACTCGTGTGAGAGGTGAATCCATTTTCATTGCTTAAGCTCTTCATCATTTTTAATGATCAATCCTAGATATTTAAATCGTTTACTTGTGGTTATTTCTTGATTTTCAATCTTTATTTTTTCACTACGTCTAATTCTTCTATTACGAAAATTGTATTGCATGTATTCATTTTTATTGCTACTTATTTTAAACCTATTTGACTCAAGTGTATCTCTACAAAATTTTAGCTTATTATAAATCCCCTTCGAGTTACATCTACTAAGACAATATCATCTGCAAAATAACATACACCTAGTGAGTTCATCCAATTATAATCGTCATCATGTACAAAATTAACTTTGGATAATCAAAGTGTGGGGTTATAGAGTCATTTACTAATACCTATTTATTTGGTGTAGTAATTGATAGGTTAGGGTTTAAACATTTTATATACAATGAATATACAATATATATAAAATATTTGAACTTAATTTATTAATATTATTTATTAATTTAATGTATCATAACTATTAAATTGATAACAAATTCAACCAATAGTTGGGCTCATAGCACTGCTTTTTTTTTTTAAAGATATATCGACAAATTTTGAGGATTTAAACTTTTTCTAAAGGTCGTTTTGATATTTTCCCTACTTGTTTCATTTTCTTGAGTGAGTACACGTGCTGCAACTACATACACAAAAAAAAAACACTTGTCCTCAATACTATCATCAAAACAACTCCAGATCATAATCAGTGGTACTTTCTACGATCTACATGGCACAGCAGTTGCCCAAATCACATAAACCGGAACAACAGCTCCTTATCTCTTAAGACATTCCTCGCTTAAAATGCGCACCCCTTCGGGGAGACCACCAAGCTCCTACTCCTCTTCTCTTCATCATCTTAATCCTATACCTCTTCATCATCTTCATCCTCTACCTCTTCATCCTCCGCTCAGAGCAAACTTCCATTCCTCCCTCTACACCTCTACAACTTCTTCATTCCTCTTCCATTTCAAACCCAAGAGGTTTCACTTCTTGAAACCATGTTCCTCACTCAAAGAAACCAAGAAACAACAGACCCTTTCAAAGAGTCCTGACAATGCGCCTCAGAGCTTTAGAAGGCTCTTGAAATTGAACCCGAAAGCCGATCAGGAAGGTGGTGAGAGTGGTGATGGTGGCTTGGAAGGTGACACTGCCGTTAAAGGTACCCTTTTGGCTGGTCTTTTGCTTGTGAGTGTTGTTGGTGGATTCGGCGCTGTCGGGTACATTTACAAGGAGCAGATCAATGCTTTCTTGACGCAATTTTCGGGGGTTCTTGAAGGTAATTTATGACGAATTTAATGCCCACATGAAGATTCCTCATAATTTGGCGTACATTTTAAAGTATTGGAATTGGAATTTTGGTTTCGTTGTAGGCAGAATTTTTAAAACATATAGATTTTCTTGGATATTGGTTTGGATTTGTGAATTTGTACTAGAATTTAAGTTACAACGATCAATACCCATTTGAAGAGTTCTAGGAATTTGATTCAGCTTCTATTACTCATATTAGAGGTTTGTCTTAGAGAAGGCACTACTGAAAGAACTCATGATTTTTTTGTCAAATGTTAAATAAAAAGGGGTGTATTATTTTTTGAATATAAGTCACTTGAGATATTGTGAGATATTTGTGGGGATTTCAAAGATTGCTTTGGATTTTATTGGAGTTAAGTTTAGCTTAATTCAGTGCCCAAGCTGAAGTTTACTGCAATTCTGATAATTTCATTTTTGTAAGATTTTAGAGTAATTCAAGGTGCATGGGGATCTTCTGAGAGACATTGGGGGTATTGAATCATGAACCCCGAATGTGTTCTTCCTGATTTAATGTGGTTACTTTTGGCTTGGGCTTTGCCAGTTGAGCTCTTGGAGTATCACGAGTTCTTGTTAGTGTTCAATGCACCCATGTTTCTTTTGATATTTTTTTCTGCATTGAAAATGATTATTGACAACTCATGCTTTGGTTTTCACTTTTCATACATTGATATATATTGAGATGCCTATTACTATTAATTTTTTCTCTATCTTTTCTTTTGATTACCTTGTTCTGTTTTCTCACTTTAAGGGAGTCTTCGAATTTGTTTTATCCTTTAGAAAATGCAATGACATGTCGAAAGTTGTAAGTACCTCTTCTGGTGCATTATTAAAGACATCTAATTTCTAAAGTGCTTTAAGGAAAAATGACTTTTAGTGGCCTATACTGATTTCTAGTGATTCTACTTGTCTCCCACTTGAATTCTACGGGATGCATCTCTTTTGTGCTCCAATGGCTATTGTTTTGATGGAGGTGCTGGTTGCCTTGTGTTAGCCTAGCTTGAGGACATAGGTATTTTGGTTACTAATCTAGGTACTGTTCAACAAGGTCAGCGACATAGTTCTTTAGAAATTGCTGCAATATTTTCTTTTGTTTTTTGCCCTTTCTGTGGCCCTTCTTGGGGGTGGGAGTGGGTGTGAACAGGGTTTTTTGTTGGCAAATGTCAATTGAAACGTTAATTATCAAAAAAGGGTATATTTAAACTTAATTTCGAGACCTGGGTCGTGTCTAAACATGCCTTCACTCGATGTCTGTCCATTCTTCTCTTAATTTTTTTTGAATGTTCAAGATGAAATCGAGTTTAGCAAACACAACTTTGAGTTGAAGTCGTGTTTGACAAATGCAACCTTGTTGAATTTGTATTTTGCAAACATGATCTGCCTGGGTTTTAAAATTATGTCGTAATGTATCTGTTTTTAATTTTTATTAATAGGATTTAAAAAAAATGTAATCAGATTATTGCTTCTAAACCCACCTTTTTATGTGGCAGAAGCAAGAGGCCTTTGGTGGAGAGGCATTTTCTAGAAGCTAAATTGTAAATTGTTGTACCAGTTCTTTGGCATGTTGAGAAGACTGCTTAGAGCCTCAGATTGTTTGCTTTTGTTAAAAAATATCAGTTATTTGGGAACAGTTGATGACGAAAAACAAAAAGTAGCATGATTAGGGAAAGCTGTATGCATGATAAATTGTACTTGAATTAATGCTGCTGGATGTGCACAGTGGAAATGTTGGATGCATTGATGCAAAATAGTTAGGATTTTTTTCATCTTTTAGTTGGTTTCTTATTCTTTACCCTCAACTTTTACAATCTTTCATGTTATTCCATCTCCTATGTGTTGAACTAATAAGATCAATATCAAATACTAGTGTTCTATATTGTCACTGCTTTTTTCCAGTTGATTTTGGGTTGAATGAGTTCTCCATCTCCAACTCTCTTCTTTTGTGTAATGCCTTAATACCTCAATATCAAGGAAATTACTTCGTTTCTTCTCGAAAAAAATCATATACTAGTCTCATCTCTTACACAAATACAGTCAACATTTGCATGCACAATATAGGAATTTTAGATAGGCTTTCACTATAAGAGTACAATTTATGATCAGACATTTTTTTGTTCTTTTTCTCCCTTTTGATAATGGCTATCCACCAAGTTTGCCTCATAAAAAAGGGAAAATCACTTGGGTGTCCAATGTCTTGGTGTTTCCTTGATTTTGTTGCTTATTATTCCTATGCTTGATATTGCCCTCCAAGTTTTGAACTTGCAGTCATAGAGTAGATGCGGAATTTAATTTTTTGGTCAACTGAGATTCTTGATTACCATTTGGTGGATAACTTTGATCCTCTTGGAGCTTGCAATGAAACAAAATGTTTGGTTATGGCCAAACATTTTAATTCTCTTCCACGGGTTTAAATTATAGTTGAATTTGTAAATGTATTAATGTGCTTCGACTTTCCTATCTTTATTAAAATTGCACAATTTTCTTTCCCAAGAATCTCAAAAGTTTTTGGTGAACAGGTTATGGTCCAGCTGGATATGCTCTCTTTGTAGCAGTTTATGCTGGATTGGAAGTAAGCAGGCTGCCTTAATCTCCCTAATAATAAATTACACATGATGGATGTCAACACTCACAAATGACACATGCTTTTATATGTCACGTCGTTAACTCAACGTTTTAAAGTACTCTATAATTCTTTAATGCCATAAATGGTCTCCAGAGTCTTTATATTTTTCTGAGCGATTTTTCCAGGATTCCATGGCCTATTTGCTCTAAACTCCAATTTTAGTTTTCTTATATATGTCTTTTAGTGCATTCAACATTAATGAAATCTCATTGTGGTTCTTGTTACACATTTTTGCACATCATAAACTTATTTTGAAGAACTATGTTTCTCTAGGTCCTTGCAATACCGGCCATTCCATTGACCATGTCAGCTGGTCTGTTGTTTTTGGCTCTGTCACTGGAACCATCATTGTCTCTATCAGCGGAACGGTAAAATGGTTTTCTTGTTACATAGAAGAATAAAAAAAAAATATATGGCCATGGGTACCTAAAGTTGCAAATGTTGTACCCTGTCAGGTGGCAGCAAGTGTTGCCTTTTTAATTGCCAGATATTTTGCTCGTGAACGTATTCTTAATTGGTCGAAGGAAACAAGAAATTTCTTGCAATTGACAAGGCCATTGGTGAAAATGGTTTCAAAGTTGTTATGCTTCTCCGTTTGAGCCCCTTGCTTCCATTTTCTCTAGGGAATTATTTGTATGGGCTTACCTCCGTTAAGTTCGTGCCGTACGTTTTGGGAAGGTCTGGTTCAAGCCTATGAATGATTGATGCTTTCTTGTTATGGTGGTTTGTATGGTTCTTTTTTCCCTCCAGATAATCTTCCATGTTTTTTCCCTTTTTGATTATTTTTGGAGAGTTTGATCTCCTTTATTTTATTTTTAATGGCATCTATACTAGGTTAGGATGCATTTATTGGAGAATGTGGCAATTAATTTATGTTTTTTTACTAAGTATGAAATGTAAAGATAATCCTTACATGCACAGAAAAGGCAAGAAAAAAATCTGCTTGGTGAGGTCTGGTCATTATTTGCCTTGAAGACATTAGGTTCCCATTCATGCATCTGTGAAATGTTGACAATTCAGTTTCGGATCCAGAAAATTGATTTGAAAAAAATTCCAGAAGTTCTTGGAGATGGTGCTTTGTAAACTATCTAGAACTATTAGTTGATGAAGGCATCTTAAATTGGGTTGATAATGAAAATGTAGATGTAGAGTGAATAAGCCAAAGCAAATATGGATGTGGTTCATGATCAAAATGTATATTTGGAGTGAAAATTTATTTCTTCGTTGACTGTTATTGTACTAGCACCTTAATTTGTCATCAAATTACATTAGTCAATTCTGTGCTGTCTCACCTGGTGTCTAGGCCTTGCAGTAATTCAATGTCCTATTCAGCAGATATGAAAAAGAAAATGTCGAGGTTTCAAATTTTGCTGTCTATAATTTCATATGTTAGTTTGGATCGAGTCTAAATCATAAAGTTGCATTGCCTTATTTTGGAATGTGGGAAAAACTGGTTTTTCTTCTCCGACCAAGATGGGATGAGTTTGTTTGAGTAGAAAAGAAATCAACAACTAATTTCCAAATTTTTTTCGAGCACCTTTCCAAGTTTTCCATAATTTGAAAACTTGGAAAATGACACTGGATCATACATTTAATGAATATTTGAGGATCTGCACATATGTAGTATGGTGTCATGTGTAGGAACCTAAACCCCAAACAAACTTGCATACGCAATGCACTCTATTTTTAATTTCACATATCTGTTGGGGAAATGTCTTCCTCTTCTCATACTATTTCAACCCATTGGTTTGCAGTTGGTTAGGGATGCTTCCAGGAACATGGGCTTATGTGAGTGCTGGTGCATTTGGCCGAGCAATTATTGTGAGTTCACCCTGGATTCTTGTTCACTAGATATATATTTTTGTATGTGTAAATAAGTTTTT